ATGTAATACTGACTGATTTAGCACTTACCTTGCCACTCTCCTACCTTGCACTCCCGCTTACCTTTTAAGAGCATTTATCCCACCAGTTTGTCCAAAACCTATCCTGTGAAGTAGACGTGGAGAAAAGAGATTTGCCCAGGCTTTAAACATTGGAGAATGGCAGGGCTAGACTCTCATATCTCCCAGCAGACCAGTGGTTCTCCTTTCTTTCCACACTGTCACTGCTCATGGCATTGCTAACAAGCTGCAGGGATTAAAGGAGATGTACACACTTTTTGTACCATAAATGGGCAAAGCCAGCCCTGCCTGTGGTTTGTGCCAGCAGCTGCCATTGGCAGGACCTGGGGTTACTCATAACTGATCAGCTTAGTCTGATATCCTTATTCCAAGAGTCTTTCTACCTTTGACTACCACACCTAGGGTTGGTCAATTAGCTGGGATTCCAAAACGTCGTGAGAAGTTCTCTTCCAGGGTATTTCTCCTCTCTTACGTCTTATCTTCCACTTCCTTTCACACTGAGCAGCAACCACATTAGTCCTCTAATCTCTCTCTCAATCCCCCACCCAACACACAAGCACCACCAGCACTGTGGTTTGCTTGCCTTGAATGTCCCAACACCCAATTCTCCCGCCAAGTACCACCACACTTATTTCTCTCTGTCTATAAATATCTTTCCCCTCCATCAAATTGATTCATTTTCCAAACACTCACTGAATCACTGTTAGAGGCTAGACACTATTCAAGGCACTGGGAATAAAGCATCAAACAAGATAAATTTGTTGAGCTCATGGAATTTAAATCTATAGTCTTTGAAACTCTTTGTTGATCACACCACAGCTCTCTTTCTCTGAAACACCACCATTTTGTCTCAATGGCCACATCACCATCAATGTATTCAGTCACCCAGGCTAGAGATATGAAACTCATATCAATGAGTTTTTATCTCATGTTTTCTAGGTTATCTGTGTGTCCCTAACTCAAATTATAGTTCCTTAATGGGTGACTTGTACCTCTTTGTGGTCTTCATGCCTGGCACAGTGCTTAGCATATAATAGCCCCTTACTAGAGTTTGAACTTAACTGGGTCTCTGCTTTTGCTGTGCATGCTTTTTATTATTTTAGAATATTATAGGAGTACAAACATTTTGGTTACATAAATTGCCTTTGTACCATTTGAGTCAAAGTTATAAGTGTGCCCATCCCCTAGATAGTGTGCATTGTACCTGTTAGGTGTGAATTTACCCATCCCCACCTCCCCCTCCCACCTGCTTGCATTTGTATGTATCTTTGATCTTAAGTTTTCAGGTGTCTTTGTCTTGCTTCCACAACTGTATAGTGTGTTTTGGGGGGAGGTATTATTAATTAGGACTACTTACAAATATTCTGGTTCTCATCCTCCTTTGTAGATTGTAGAACATTGTAGAATTTTATCTCTCACTCTTTTAAAGTTAGGGATGGCCATATGATTTGTTCTGACCAATAAAATGTGAACAGAAATAACGTGTCATTTCCTGGAGAAAGCACTTAATCGCCCAACACAAAATACTGCCCACTATCTCCGCCTCTTGCTGTAGGGAAAGCACAAGAAGAAGAGACAGAAGCTTCATCAGTCCTTGAACAACTAAGGTGAGCAGAGGCTTCTGCCGACCCGTGCTTGTAGTATGAGCAGGAAGCAAATATCACTAATCCAAGGAGACGTGGGGATTGTTTATTGTGGTTGCATAACCCAGCCTGTGCTGACTGCTCCATTCCCTGAGGACACGACCTGTGCCACTCATCTTTGTGACTCCATAGTGCCACATTAAAAACACACCAGAATAGAAATATTTTATTTAAATGATTTCTCATTTTTCTTAATTCACAATGTCCAATTTCAAATATCCCTTTCCCATCTGTTTCTGCTCTCTCGGTACTAAAGCATAATTTCTGTTCGTTTTAGCTTAACTCCAGTTTCAAAAACATAAAAATTTAAATTTCTAACCAGTTCATACTCTGATGTTGATCATTTGTGTAACATTTTGTAGAGAATGAATGTCATCCTCTGATGACTGACTGGACAATTCCTTCGGCTCAGCTGTAGTGAGTATTCTACAGGGACGGTGAAAGGGACACTCCGAGCACATGCCTTGCAGCTGAGCAGCAAAGCAAAGGAGTTGCAATAAATCAGTTTCCTAGGGGATGTGCGTGTTGCAGTACAGGTCTCCCTGTACCCTCTGCCCCAGCAGATGGCACGACAACATGGACATAAATGTAATGAAAATGTCCTCCATTTGCCTTTATATGCCTTAAAAAACTGTTTCACTTTTGAGCATATAATTTGTGAGCAGAGAAAAAAATATCCTCTACAATCCTTTTTAAATGTCATTGTTAAACAGTGCAATATTTTTAAAAAGGTGTGTGTGGGGGGGTGGGGGGGGCCCCAAAACAGAGCCTTGTCCTTAAAGAAATGTCTAATGTGTAATTTATTCTCCCCACAATCCTCATAACTTGAAAGGATATTCTTTTTTCTCATATAAATTTATTATACATCACTCCAATCTTATTTCAAGCACATCAGCACAGAGCTAGTTACTATACGCACTAGTTCACTGAGTTAAAAACAAAGAACCCACAGTCTTCCTACTATTTTCTTCTACCTACTAACAGTTCTAACACAATTCCAGTTACTTCCTCCGCAGCCACGCTTCTAAACACACCCTTTCATAGGAATACATCCAGCTATTAACAACCCATCTGCTGTTTAATATCCTGAAATTTAAAATTAGGTTTGTAGGCACAGTTTCTATGGTTATATGTTTTCTAAAGCCAATTACAAATTTTTAGCCAGAGTTATCACAAAATTTTGAATTTTAACTTGAAGTTTTCATATTTATAAATGTCAAGTGTTTTATTTTGGAAGGAAATATGTCTACATTTACTATAACTTGATGTAATTTTGTAAAGATACTTTCTGAAAGACAATCAAATCTCCAGATTAAAAATAAGCTTGTAGGCTTATTTTTATGGACTTTTAACAAAATCTAAAGAAAAAAATCCAGTTTTTTTTTCAACCTAAACAAAGTAGTTAGGGATCACAGGAAATATTTCTCTAGTGTAAAATCATACAAAAAAATGTGAGTGCTTGGGCCTATACTGAGAATGGAATGAGATCTCCTGTTCTGTATTGCCCCATGGTAGGGGAAATCCTTTGTTTTGTTAGGATAGGCTATTGGGTAGACCATAGGTTGTTGATTTGCACAATTTTAGAACCTGTCAACATAATATCAAGAAGAAACCACAAAGGAAAAAGTTGGGTAAATCCAAATACACAGATATTTAAAACTTTAATACCAAATTGAATATTTTATTACACATCTGCATTGTCTAAAGTTTCTATAACAAACACCTTACTTTTTTAACAATTTGTTTCTTCTTTAGTTTCTTTTTCAGAAAAGGAAAAATATTTTAATAGTAAGCATAGAAGCAGTGACTGGAAGGTTGGGATTTCCTGTCCAAAGTCATACCTATAAGTCAAATTTTATTCCAATTGATTCAATAGGGCAGATTAAATGTGAAAAGCAAAATGGTAGGCTCCTTAGGCAGCAACTCTTGCTTCTTTCTTGGTTGCTTCTGCCTACGTAGAAAACTGATCAAGGAAGATGTTTACAACCCCATACACACTCTAGATAATTTCAGCCCTGAAGTCACAGTTTTTCACACCTGCATTTTTAAACATCCAGACACCTGAACAAAATCTTTGAGAGTGCAAAATACACCAGGAAGTGGAAGAGAAATTGACACCAACTTCCCCGAGATCCCCCAAAGTAAAGAGCATCCCTTTCTCCTACATCAACTCCAGGTTACATCCTGGAAAGCACAGCGGGTAAGGAATACCAAGCCTAGACACAACAACCGGAACTCAACTGTAAGGTAGCCAGGCTGGCAGGTGTAGGGCCAACATGGCTGCAGGCCACAGCAGTAAAATGCCTGTGACAGCCACACATTTACAATCAGTTTGGCGGTGTTTCCAACACAGGCTGAGGGATTTAGTTTTCCCCATGTAAGGCAATGACAAGGATTTCAAATGGACCAAGCATTTCATATTAGCATCAACAGCACCAACACAGCTTCAGCTGGCAGAGGAGAGGGAAACCAAGAATATCCACATTATTTACTCCAGAAACTGCCTGAGCACCATCTGTTCTCGGCCACCCCACCCACGTGACCCTTTCTGCAATACACCCTTGCCCAGCTCTGTGAGCCCCCAAGTCATGTGTCTTGGTCCAAGAATTTCAAATCCCAATGTTTCTCTGAATACAGAGATTTGGAGAGTTAATTTCAGCAGAGCAATTAGCAACACAGAAGATCCCTTCATACTGCCAAGTATTAATTAGTTGTTCAGTGGCAAAAATGATTTGTTCCTCTAACCTTTATTCTAAGATTGAATGCAATGCTTTCCCTACATAATGTGGTAGGGGGAGGGAGAGGGAACAGAGGAAGCTGGATTATACAGCATAGAAAAATCGATATTCTTGCACTCTAGGGTCTATGAACTAGTTCAAGGTAACAGAAATTGATTAAGAAAGTCAACTGAATTCCCAATTGAATAAAAAGAGTGCATAGAGCAAAGACAAGTTTCCAAGACACCTACAAACCATATATGATGTATACATCTGTGTCTAGTTGATTTTTATAGAAACATTGGCCTTTCAGGAAATAAACTGTCCCCTTCTGAAAGTCAAGGTAACAATATTAGTAAGCAAATCAAGACCAGTACAAAATCCAATAGTGATTATACTACTATATTATGATCTATACAGACTGGAAAGAGGAATATTAAAATGAGACCACCCCAAGAGAGAAAAACTCAAGAAATTTCATCAAAAATTAAAAATGACCCATTTACATAGAAGCAGTACAACATTTATTCATACATTTTCTTAAAAGAGTATAAGATTTTTTTCTTTTGTTCATATTTGTGTCCTGAATTCAGAAAGTAGGGATTAAAATCCAAAAAGGCCCCAGAGCTCCCCCAAACCTGATCCAAGAAGTAGGTAAGAATTAGTGGCTTAGAGAGATGAGCCTGTAGCACCCACAGCTCTCGCTAACCTGAAAGCATCAAGTAATTCCCTCATTTTCTATCTTACTAACATTGCTCTAATTATACTTCCAATAAGAGGCAAAACCAATTAGAAAAATAATGTAACATTTCACAGGCAGTAGAGATTAAATGTGAGTTCAGTAATCAGCTCCGGCAAACATGCAAAAATAAGGACAGGGAGAAACCAGTCATCCCCGACCTCTTAGTTGAGTGGGTGGGCAATTGAAGTCAAGGTAAAAACAGTGAGGCTGAACAAAATCGCTTGAAGGAAAAGCATCTCATGAGGTTTTTCAAGGTCAGTTGGTGAAGGCCAAATAGAAGTAAAATATTTCTCATATGCCCTGGAAGAAAAAGAAAACAAAAATTACCACCAGCAGCAAAATAAAATTCAAAGCCTTTATAGTCCCCAAATGAAGTATCTTCAAGGAAAACTCTTAACTGTATTAAGCTAAAATGACCTTTTTGTTATTGTTGTAGTTGTTAACAATTTAAAGTACCAGTGAAACCACTTAATTTTCAAGCCACATTGCATTTGATTCACAAAATGGTCTCGGTCAATAATGGAATGGTTTGTCGAGTGATGTCTTAGTGGCTGTGTTCTTAGAGATAGGCTATTGTCACCCACCTCCGTAGTTACAGCAAGGACAGGATGAACACAATGTGGAGCAGAGCAATTTAAATGGAAATGTCTCAAGCAGAGTTGCACTGTATTATGCAGCGGGAAGGTGACTTCTAAGGGGACCTTGAGCTATGGAGGCAGACTAATGAGTCCCCACCCCCACCACGTGCAAAGGTCAAGAAATCTCCATCAAGCCTCTGCAATGCCAGGCCAAGCTACGTTTGGAATACAGACTATTGCTGTTTTTTCTAACACTCTGGGAAATTAAAATCTCAGGTTGCCTCATAGGTCATGGCAAATGCTTAACTGCCCTTGAAGACATAGATTTAGAGTTTCCACAGCATCCCAAAGAGTCTCGCCTACTGTATCAGAGAAAATATAACTTAAAGTGATTTTTTAAGTGTCCCACCTTAGATGCTTCATGAAAACTAATAGAGGACTCTAGAAAATCATAATGCATTTTTAAAATATAAAAGCAATGTTAAATTATTGAAGAATAAATATATTAAGCAATATGAGAAGACTAATTTAAATGAAAAATGGTTAAAAAAAGATCAATCAACCCAACATATATTTATTGGGGTTCTACTGCTTAAGTGTTTATATGACATTTCAAGAAACAACTGTTTTTTCCCCCATGGCTTTCATCATATTTTTATCATGTTTTCTGCCTTTCTCCTTCTCTTCTCTTTGGCTTTTTACTGGTTCCAATATTTCCTCCAAGCCCATGTGTGAGATGGGGCATAATTCTCCCTTCTCATTGTTTGGGGAAGCTCAGTCCTCACCTACCAACTTCTCAACAAATGACACATTCTTAATTTATTCTATATACTAACTTCTGTCCACTCATTATTTACAAAACATGTTCTAAATAAAAGTTCAATGCCTTCTTTTTTGACTTTTATATTGTGTCCTTTGACAGCCTGATGTTTGAAAATGTAATGTGGACACATTTATCATTTCTTTTTAGTTTGTACTTTGGGTCTTATAAAATTCTTCTGGTCAATTTTTATAAATAGCCTCTTTTATTTCTTCTAAAATTTAAAAAGGCTTCCTTTCTGTTTACAAGCTTTAATACACCTGGGACTGATTTTTTGTGTGCGAATGTTGTTAGGAAGGGACCTAACTTCGGGTGGGTACTCAGTTGGCCCCACAGCATTTGTCGGAGAGTCCGTTCCCCCCAGCAATGGGTCCAGCCTCTTCTGTCACACATCAGAATGCCAGAAATGGCTGGCCCTGCTGGTGTCAGTGGCACACCGTATTAAATACTTAGTTAAGTCCCCATATATACCTCTTTATCTCTAGGAGTGAATTGGCTATTCTTGGTTTTTTGCTTTGATTATAATTTATATAAATCTGTAAAATATTTGAGAGCTCATCCTTATCCATTAACTGGAGGTAAACTCTCCATTTATTTCATTCCCAATGTCTTTCTACAAAATTTTATAACTATTTTTTTAAAGGGTCATGTACAGCTTTGGCTGGACCTTTTTATTAGGTGTTTCTTTATTCTCAATGTGTAGAAATGAAGTTAGTTTTTATACATTGGTTTTATAGCCACCAACATTGCCAAACCCTTATGTATTCTAATAATCTGAATATAAGTTCTTTTGGTTTTTCTATGTACATAATTGTATCACCTGTGATTTAGAAATGCTTTTTCTCCCATTTTAATCCTTATATCTGATTTAAAGAGAATGTTTTGATGTTTATTAGAGTTTTGATCCCTTTGTTAGGTAAAGGAATTTCTCTTCTCCTTCTAGTTTGCTAGAAGTCCCTACCACAAATAAGTATTGAAAGGTAGCAAATGTTTTTTCTGTATCTGTTGAAATGATCATACGGAGTTTCTCCCATAATTTATGAGGTGAATTATCTCAGCAGTTTTTTTGTTTTGTTTTGTGAAAAGCCAAGCTTGCATTTCTGGAATGAATTCAATTTGATCAGGATACATTATACTTTTTAAAAATTCATTATTGAATCTGCCAAAATTTTGTGACTTTTTGAATCTATATTCATGAGTGAGAGTGAGTCTGTATCTTTTTCTGTACAGTCTTTGTTTAATTTTAATTCAAAGTCACATTTACCTGCTTAATCATTTTGGAGAATATTTCCTTCTTTTCATTTAACCAGACAAACTTTCTAGACATCTGAAATAATCTGTTCCTTGAGAGTTTAACAGAACTCTCCTGTAGCATGTCTAGCCCTGGTCTTTATTTTATGGGAAGACAGTAACAAATGGATCTTGATAGCATGAGTATCACTTTGTACTTTCACCAATAATATATAAACTACTCATTTTCCTACAGCCTTGCACACAGAGCATATTGTCAATCTTTCGGTTTTTTGTGAAGTAATAGATGAGAAATGGTATTTTGGTTTAGTTTTTCATTTGTATTTCTTTCATTATGATAAATTCACTGAGTTTCTTAATTTCAAAGGTTATCTGTAGAAGTTCTATTTTTTTCTTGGTTATTTTTAATTGTCTCTTTTTTTTGCTCATTATGTCAAATCCAATTTTTATTTCACCAAATGTTTCATAGTGATTTTTAATTCAGTATCTAATCATTTTAGTATATCAGATCATTTGGCTGTAAATCTCTGTTGTGTTTGTGATGTTCAATCACAACCATCAACCATTTGTTTTCCTTTTTTTTTTTTTGGAGATAAGTTCTCACTCTATTGCCCCAGCTAGAGTACAGTGGTGTCATCATAGCTCACTGCAGTCTCAAACGATCCTCCTGCCTCAGCCTCCCAAGTAGCTGGGGCTACAGATGCATGTCATATGTCACGACGCCTGGCTAATTTTTTTATTTTTTATAGAAATAAGGTCTCGCTTTTGCTCGGGCTGGTCTCAAACTCCTGGCCTCCAGCAATGCTCCTGCTTCAGCCTCCCAAAGTGCTAGGATTACAGGTGTGAGCCACCACACCCGGCCTCACTTGTTTCCTTATATGGGCAGTAAGTTCCAGTCATTGTTTTACACTTGTGATATGTCAGTGAGCAAAACAATCAAAGGGCCTTACTCTTGTGGAATATGGAATATATATTACCACAGGGAGAGACTGAGAGTAAAAAGTCAACAAAATATACAAATAAATTATGTTAGAAGTTGAAGAGTGCTATGGAAAAAGGAAGTAGAGTTCAGAAAGGGAATTGTAAGAGCCAGGGTGAGGGCCCAAGCAGCCTTAACTAGGATATCCAAGGCAGCCTCACCAAGGCAGTAGAATCCAATAAAATAGGTGAAGGAGAACAAACCAGATGGATATTCTGGAGAAGAGTATAGAGAGAGAAGCTAGTGCAAAGGCCTTAAGGTGAGAGTAGCTGTGACTGGTGTCCAAAGAACAAGAAGAAAGCTGGTATAGCTGGAGAAGACTGAGGAAGGAGGACAGTGGCAGGAACCAGAGGGCTCCAAAGAGGCTGGGGTCATGCAGCACCTGGCAGGCTGCTGGAGGGACTTTGGCTTTTATTCCAAGTGACTGGGGGAGTGATAAGAGCCACTGGAGGGTTTTAAAGAGAGACAAGATCTGACTTCTGTCACTCTCATATTGAGAATAGACTCTAGGTGAGTAAATGTGGAAGGAAGCCATCCAGGAGGCTACTGCAGGCACCTGGATGAGCACTGATCAAGGCTGGAAGCAGGACAATGGTGGTGGAGGTGGTGAGACGCTGTTGGGTTGGATAAATTTGGAACGAAGAGTCGAGAGGGTTTGCTGATGGATCAGCTGTAGGGAGTATGAGAGAGGGGTCATACCATTATAGAAACAGGAAAAAGTGCAGCTACAGCATCGGAGTGAAGGGGATCAAAGGTTACTGAAATGTCGATCACACATCCAAGTAGAGATGTTGAGTAGACAACTGGATGTGCAAGTCTAGGCTGGAAATAGAAACTTGGGAGTAATAAGCACATAGATGGTATTTAATTTCATAAGAATGAATGAGGCTGCCAAGGTATTAAGTGAACATAAAGTTCAGGAAGTGGTCCAAGGTGGATCCCCAAGGCACTCCAGCGTTGAGAGGACAGGCAGTGCAGGGAATTCAGCAGAGGAGAATGAAAGGGAGTGGCCATTAAGGTACACTGAAATCCAGGAGAGTACAGTGTTTCAGAAGTCAAGGAAGAAAATGGTTTCAAAGAAGAGGAGTGATTCACTATGACAAACGATGCTGATAAATCAAAAGATAAAGACTGAGAAATAATCATTGGATTTTGCAACATGGACATTGTCAGTGATCATGAAAAGAGCATTTTTTTTTTTTTTTTGAGTGATAGAGCCTAAAATCTTATTAGAGCAGTTTTAAGAAAAAAAACAAAATAAAGAAATTAGAGACAGCAAGGACAGACACCTCTTGAAGTTTTGCTGTAAAGGGGAACAAAGAAACAGGGCAGAAAAAAGAGGGAAAGGTGGTATCAATGGAATTTATATTTATTTATATCTTATGCTGATTTATTTACACTCTAGTTGAGATGGAACATTAAGCAATACTGAAGAGAAGGGAGAATATTTTTTTTTTTTGAGACAGAGTCTCACTGTGTTGCCTGGGCTAGAGTGCCGTGGCATCAGCTTAGCTCACAGCAACCTCAAACTCCTGGGCTCAAGCAATCCTCCTGCCTCAGCCTCCCAGGTAGCTGGGACTACAGGTACGTGCCACCATGCCCGGCTAATTTTTTCTGTGTTTAGTTGTTTGGCTAATTTCTTTCTATTTATAGTAGAGACGGGGTCTCGCTCTTGCTGAGACTGGTCTCGAACTCCTGAGCTCAAGCAATCCTCCTGCCTCGGCCTCCCAGAGTGCTAGGATTACAGGCATGAGCCACTGTGCCCAGCCAAGAAGGGAGAATATTATCAGAATAAAGTCCCTCGGGAGGTGGAAGAGATAGAATCATCAGGAAAAGCAAGCGTAGAAGAACAGATGTCTGGAGGTCAACAGAGGTGGAGGTGGCAGCCTGAGAAGTTCTCACCTTTCTGTCACTGCTTCTTTCCAGTAAGGGAAGCGCTGTAACCACTTTGGACTTGGGTGTGCCTACCCTACTGAGGAAGCTTCAGCCAATCGCCCTCACTATTTACTCCACAAGAAAACTACGTTCCTGTCTTTTATCTGGGCGTCTAAGCAGAGTTTGTAGCTCACTGAGGCCTACCAACAGTCACTGGCGAGCCGGACTGCCAAATCCTCGTTTCCTTAGCAGGAGCCTGCACAGAATCTATTTACCCTCTTCCCTCTTCTTCCCCTCATCGCAGGCATTTTTCTAGGTACTTTCTAAATTGTAGAGCTGTTACGTAGAGAAGAAATGACAAATGTATAGTGAGCTTCCAAAGTCCTGGCCAAAATCTAAATTCCAGTCACATTTCACAACTACGTTACACGAGCTTGGATAACATCTTCAGTTCACAATGCTCCATTTTCCACGTCTTCTACTCACATATTTGTAGGAATAAGTCAATAATGTGTGTATCATATCACGCAATGCAAAGATACTGTGTTTCAATTATTTTTTCTCTCTCTCTTCCATGTTGTTCCTATTCTGAATGCCATAGGGAAACAAAAGAGCATACACTGTGGTTAAATAGACACATCCAGGAAG